TTCGGTGCCTTGCTCAAGGGCACCTCAGTCGTGGTATTGAAGGTGGGAGAGAGCGCTGTACATTCACTCCCCCCACCTACAATCCCTGCCGGTACGAGACTCGAACCCGCAACCTTTGGGTTACGAGTCCGACTCTCTAACCATTAGGCCACGACTTCCCCATAAACTGTAAACTGTAATTATTATTATTTTTTCTTGTTAAAAATACTCTTTATATTCAGTAATCTGTACCTTAAGGTTAATAGACCTGGGTCTGTGTGCATTTAGACTAGCGACATGCACATATTATGTTATTCTAACCCCTCTTTAAAAAGGTGTGACTTCCACAGCTGGGCATTACAATATATGTTATTTTTATTTGTACATTTAAATTAAATGAGCAAATAAAAATAGTCAAACCTCATTGGCTGCACTGCTCATGAAGATGGCTTTTAATGCGGTGACGATATATTACTTGGATGGTGTGACTTGTTTTAAGATATCTAGAAGTCACATATTCCATGTACAGAAACACAGCATTATGTGAAACAACAAGAAAAGTAAATTTGATCCTTACCCATTTGGCTGGGATTGACTGCAGAGTCTGGGAACTGTGTGAAGAAATCTTGGATGGGTCCTCGTGGATCCTGGGTGGCACAACGGAGCCAAGCTGGAACGGAGCAGGACCTGTACACACTTACGAAAGGCCATGCTGTCCTGCTGTGCAAGCATGTGGGCTATGAATGAGGAGGCTCTGCATCAAATTTTGGGGTGTTCGTTGTTTCAAGGACAAAGCTGCAAGCTCCATGGTAAGGCCAACCCTGAGGTGGACAAGGTTAAACACACAGAGAAAAGGAGAGAGAGTGAAGCCTTGGTCTTAAAGGGATAGTTCACCCAAATTCAGTCATTAATTACTCACCCTCATGTCGTTCCAAACTCATAAGACCTTCATTCATCTTCAGAACACAAATTAATATATGTTTTGATGAATACTTTTTGTGCGCAAAGAAAACAAAAATAACTACTTTATTCAACAATTCTTCTCTTCCGGGTCAGTCTCCGCCACCATTCACGAGAGCATCACGACGCATGCGCTGCGCTTTGTTTACAAGCAGAGGAATGCACATGTATGCGTCATGGTACTGTCATGAATGCACAGGGGAGAATGACCCGAAAGAGAAGAAATCGTTGAATAAAGTCATTATTTTTGTTTTCTTTGCACACAAAAAGTCTTCTCATAGCTTCTTAAAATGAAGGTTGAACTACTGATGTCACATGGACTATTTTAGCGATGTCTTTACTGCCTTTCTGGGCCTTGAACGTGGTAGTTGCGTTGCTGTCTATGCAGGGAAAGAAAGCTCTCGGATTTCATCAAAAAATTCTTCTGATTTGTTTTCCGAAGATGAACGGTCTTATGGGTTTGGAACGACATGAGGGTGAGTAATTCATGAATTACTCATTTTTATTTTTGGGTGAACTATCCCTTTAAAGATCATGTATAACTTGCGGAAAAGAAACCAGCACAAGACAATACACATTTCTTTATCTTTATAGTATAGTTAAAAATTCAGTTCTTGACAGGAGTTTGTCATCTGATAGTATCCTGTAATACTGGGTCATGGTGCACTCAGTCACTTCAATCTTGGGATCAAATCAGATCATGAGATTCTGATCAGATCAAATGATGGATCACGGGAGTCAGATCAAAGTCAACCTAAAGACCCTCTCTCCCCGATACAATCTCAGAAAGATTTTTTTTCGTTCTTCATATTTGACCTTAACAGACTATGTAAAGAAATGAATCAGAGAGAATTCCCACATCAAAGAAAATATGAAATCATCATGGACCAGTAACAGTTTAAATGTATTAAATGCGTTTGTGCACCATTAGAAGAAACTCCAAATCTTCCTTTGGCCAGATTTAGTTTGAAATGACATCACACCCGTTTGTTCTTCTATTTCTCTTTAAGTGTACTGGAGCCTTAAGAATAGAGATTTGGATCGAGGTGTGACCTTATGGTTCAGATTCTATACATAGCTTTGGGTTAAGGCCAGGTTTGTTTTTTTGGTTTGAATCTTAAATTAGTAGAGGTTGACCTGTACAGGTTTTTGAATGGGCAACGCTGATATAATATATCTCAACGGCCACTCCAAAACCCCTGGAAGAACACAAATTTGAAATCTGCCACTTTGCCTTATGGGCACTAAGTTCGAACCACTTTAGATCTGCAGGAAAATTATATTATTTAAATGTTAAGTGGTTAATTGGCACCCAAAACCCCAAACAGCATCCCAAAACCTTCACTAGCGACCACTGAACTCTCATTCATGCCATTTAAGAGCCCTCCAATATGAGTCATTAGCATTGCTAACACAAATAAATTTTGAATATCAGCATGCATTACTTAATGTTGCGTACTTTCATAACAGTGTAGTATTTGTGCAAAGCATTTGTGAAGTTAAGGAAAAAAGAATTACCTTGGAATCTTGTAAAGCCTGCAGTATGATATCGTTCAGTGTCTGGGTTTTGTGGTTTTAGTCTGAATGTGAATGTATCTTCAGTTTCTTACCGAGAAGCAAAGAAAGCTGTCAGCAGATAAGATTCACCTTGACTGAAACTATTTATATGAGACCACTTCTTTTAAATACTGCAATTTTGGGTTTAGTATAATTGCCTTGCAGGAAGCCGCTTCACAGAATACTTACCCATTATGGCTTTTATATTTTTGAGGTAAGTGGAGGATGTTCACCTAAAACTGACAAAAAAATAAATAAATAAAATAAAACCTACCTATGCTTGCTGTTAAGCACATATAACAATGGATGCAGGCACAATGGATGCAGCCATTTATTTACAAAGATCCAAATTCCTAAACAAAGATATACACTGGGAAAAAAATCGCTAAAAGAGTTTTGGATACTTAATTAAAAGAATTTTAATAATAATGACTGAAATAATAAGTTATTATTAGCTGACATTTTTTTTAGCTATTGTTTGTTGTACAGTATATGGGCTGTGATCCACATCCCTTGCATGTGTGTGTGTGTGTGTGTGTGTGTACGTGTGTGTGTGTGTGTGTGTGTATGTGTGTGTGTGTTGTTTATTGCTGATATACTGTTGATCACTACTGTGAATACTGCGTGATTGCACCAAGGTTTCCTGGGAAACTTCATTCATTCATTCAGCCCTATAAGGAATAAATTAAAAAACACTTTGAACTTTGACTAAATATAATTGTCACATCACTAAATACCGGTATTCAAAAAAATGATAATATGATTTAGTATATAATATAATAATATAATTCAGTATAATAATAGTTTAGTTTAATAGTTTATTTAATTTACTTTATTAATATTGTTAATGTCTAATTAATAATGAGCAGCATAGGGGAAAGTGTAATAGAATTGTCCATTCTTAGTCATGGTCTTACAAACCAACAATTCTTTTGGTTAGTCACTCTGACCAGCCAAAATGTGAACAAAACTCTTCTAAAATGATTAAAACAGTCAGCTAATCAACTTAGGCCATTGGAAGTTTTATGAAGCTTTTTCTTTTCTTTTCTTTTCTCAGCAGGGATAAAATAGCCTTTAACAGCATTCAGATAGAGTTCTATAATTTTATGTTACAAAACATTCACAGTTGGGCCAACAAATATTGGCTTTATGATGAGATACAAAGGGAGCAGCTTTGATCTTCAGGTCATAAATAGAGGACAAATCAGCCTTGCAAGAAGTACACACAAAAACTAGTATAGTGTTTTTGATTCTCAATGTGAGATTGATCCATTCTGAGAAAACTGTTCTGGCATAACTTTAAAAGATACTTCTAAGGATATTGATTATTTTTCCAGAACCTCTTATACTGTACATATCTATGGGTAATAATGTTCGAGCCTCAGGCAGGGTTATTAACTAAAACTAAAACCATAAAAAGAAAAGAAAGAAAGAAAGAAACTTTACTGGGAAAAAAATAAGTGTTAACTGAAATAAAAAAGAAAAACTTTTTATTTCATTTTAATTTAGTTTATGTATTAAAATAACACTAATACTAAAAAATGGAAAATAGAAAAATAATGAAAGAAAAACAGAAATAGAAAAAGAAAAATAATAAAAAACTATATAGACATTAGATAGATAGATAGATAGATAGATAGATAGATAGATATGCTATTAGTATAATAGTATAAAAGATACTATAATAACACTGGCCTCAGCCTCACAATCTCACACTCATGTTCTGTATTATATCCGCACATTTACAATACTGCAATGTACTTATTTTTAGTATTCCTGGTAAAATGTATGCATTCTTTTTTTTTACAAATTAAAATGTATCTATTATTATTATTATTATTTATCATTACTTATATTTATTATTTCTAAATAGCAACACTCAATCTCTCAAACATATTAAAATCTATTATGTCATTAAGGAATATTCAGGAGCTGATAGATGCCATTTTACTTGAACTGTCAAAATGTTTCCCCAATCGCTGAGCTCTGTCTAGAATCTGATGTGAAATGTGCTTGGGATTAATGTGCTTCTGATTGGGGTGCTGATTGCTTTCATTGACTGAAAGATTGTAAAGATACCTCAGGGTTCAAAGCCAGCTGGTTCTCTGTGAATAAAACAAATCTTGCATGCTCTTGTGAAATACTTATATAATTAATTATATAAATACTTAATAATACAGTTTCACTTTATCCTCTTCAAAACCGTAGAAATGCTCACTCGCCTATAATATTTCATGCTTTTCAAAGCAAAAACCTTGACACTGAGCGAAAGAGAGATAAGGGGGCTATGAACTATACTGGATCTCCAAGAAAAACCTATGAATGTACTGCACAGGCGGCTAACAATTTTGAATGTGGAGGATAATTTACAGTCAGACTTCGTGGGAGACATATACTTACAAAACCACTTTATGTTTTGTATCTGTCAGCTCCAGAGGCTTTCTGAAGGCCAACAGGAAGAATTTTAACCTTCAACTGATAACGGTGTCCATTAACGTGTGCTTGATTGCCTTGAGAAACTTGAGGGCTGTTCTGTAAACAAACATCTGAAAATCACTGGACGCAAGTAACCGCTCCAAACCCGAAACACTCCATACCCACAGTCGCAATAAAAATGTGCACTACAAATAAAGAAAAGAGGCATCATAAACCGCTGAAAGAAAACAAGTCACAAATTTTTACAGTGTCTCTGACATCTTTTGCCTTTAGTCTTTTGTCTGAATTGCTTCCCTTGTAATGTACACTGTACACTGTATTACTTAATTCGAATGAAGGCTGGATGGGTTATCCACACACATGCTTTACAATACTGTGTGGAAGTTATGAAATCAGATTGTATTCAGTATAACTCGAAAAGCTAAGAAAGACATATTAAATACAACACTTGATTTCCAGTTCCAGGGACACTTACCTGTTTTCACCCTGTTATAATCATTCATGATGCTTGCCATCTTATCTGTAGAGAAAAATAATCACAGAAGAGCATTAATCTGGGCTGAAACATACCATTCTTTTTTAACAGTCAAGATTATGTTGTATGAACATTGCAAAATGTATCATTCATATACTGCTGTATACTGTTTTATTACTGATTTCTCTGCCTATTTTGCTAATGTACTGAAGCTGCAAGCTGAAAATTTATTCATTAATGAATATTTTTATAAACACAGCCAACAGAGCAGGATTCATCAGAGCAGGAGCAGCATT